AGCGAAAAAAACGAATAGTTGAACCATGGTTGAACATGAACATAAGGTGATAACAATAAATATATTGTCTTGGTCTTATCACCTACACAATCAACTTATATTGAAACCACGATTAAAGATAGTACTATCTTTAATCGTGATTGAAACTAATTAATACTGACTGCTATGGATCGTCATAAAAAATATTTTTTCGTAGTAATTACTAATTTGAACTACCTGCTTTGTAAATAATGACTTCTTTTACACACAGACTTAGGAGACTGTGCTTTTACATAACTAAAATAATCCAATAATCCAATTAATAGTAAAAACAGAAATGATGCATAATATTGTATAAAGGATAAAAATTACGGGCGTAAATAACGGCCGCTACGATTATCGAATTTTACGGGTTGGCAACCCTGCTCTGGTAGAACCACAGAACCAAACTTGATTCATTAGCTGCTGGCGGCGCTGGCCTAACATACAATTTAAAGATGGACGTTACAGATTTGAGTTTTTAGTTATTTACAATAAATCACCATCGTCACAATTCAATCATCCAGAACTTAGTCCATCTACTAGGATGGAAAGACTCCTAAATCAAGGGGTTCCAGTATGTATTTGATTTTGATAAAGTATTAATACTAATGTTGATATTAATTTGGATTTATTCATAGGATAAAGATATAATGTATAGTTGGTTAATTCATCTAAATCTAGAAGAATATTTACCGTTGTTCATATCAGCTGGATATGATATGAGAACTGTTTCAAAAATGACAACAGAAGTAAGTTAATTTAAATACTTGATATAACAAATTTTGAAAAGTCAATATTACCAAATGCTAGGACTATATTTTGAAATAGCTATCGAATGTTATTTGTTGTCAGTAATTCAAGTTTATAATTTTATTATTTTTCATTTTTATTTATTTATTTTAAGTTACATAATATAATCATATAATTTAATTTAACTCTTAAATTTTTAAATATTTTGAAATTATTGGCTTTATAATTTAAATTTAAATAGATATGTTATATAATTAGACGCAATAAAATGTAGTTAAAAAAATAGTCAATATTAATCCATCATTATTTTTCAATAATTGACTTAATACATAATAAAACACTTAATTACCTATGTAATTATTTTATTTTTATTGTATAGGATTTAACTGCTATTGGTGTAAAGAAACCAAATCATAGAAAGAAATTAAAAGCAGAAATTGGTTTATTAAATATATCTGATGGACTATTAGACTACATTCCTGTAAGTATTGTTTGTTTTATTTTTGTGTTTTATTTGGACATATTGTTAATATTGAGAGTGAAATTATTTAGGGGTCATTAGATGAATGGCTTAGTTTACTAAGACTTGAAGAATATGGATCAGCTTTAGAAGCTCAAGGTTATTCTACAATAGATGATGTAACTCAGTTAACATGGGAAGACTTAGAAGATATTGGAATAGTCAAACTTGGGCATCAAAAAAGATTATTACTAGCAATTAAACTAGTAAAAGATATTAAGGCTGGGAAATCATTTGTTCCTCATTCTCCATATTTTATTCAAACTCAAGTGAGTAAAAATTCATTAGAGGTTAAATTGTCTTACAAGTAATTCTACACCAGAATAATTAGAAATAATTCTGCTGGGAAATCATTTGTTCCTCATTCTCCATATTTTATTCAAACTCAAGTGAGTAAAAATTCTAAATTGGAAAAAAATGATATTAATAAATACAGAATTTGATATGAGCACTTCGGCTGGAGGTACAAGTAGCTTTGTTGGTCCTCCACAGTGGAGATATCAGCAAAAAAGTTTTGAAGATGGTTATTTAACACCGACAAATGAAACCTTTATTCTTCATGAATGTGATGATACATTACCTAGTCCAAGAGGGCTAGTTAAGCCAAGATTAACTATTCAACAAAATATGTAAGATTAAAAAATTATACTAAATTGTTTTTTTTTTTTTTAATATTCACATAAATAAAATAATATGTATTTTTGTTTTCAGAGAAGACTGTTCAGGATTAAATACATTGAAACGTAGACCACCGTCACCACCTAAACGTCAACAGTCTTGTGAAGATAATAAAAACGTCGGTCATCTAGTAACTGTTGTTGTTGATGTACATTGTGTGTAATTGTGTGTATTTGTTATATTTAATATAAATTTAATATTTTTCACTGTTTGATTTTAGGATTAATTCAACCTATACTTTCTGAAAAACAAGGTCTCAATGATTAAATTTATTCTATCGGGATGACGGGATTACATTAATTAGAAAAAACTACAAAAAAAAATAGTAATTTATTATTTTAAAAACTTTCCTTTATTTATTGCTTAGGTATAATTTAACAATTTAAATACAACCTCTTTAACGTTCCGATTTTTGCCCATGATTTTAATCTTGGTGTTGAGTGTGCATTCGTCTAAAATAAAAATAAAATAAATACTCAACTCTTAAGAGGACACTACCCATGCATTTGTTGTATTCGTTTTACACACTTATGAGTTATGACATACCAAATACTCGGTCAAAATATTTTGACTTGTTTTGAGCTGTTTATGGACATTTTTAGTTTTTTTTCTTTTAATATAAATAAAATTTTATTTGTTTGCTACAAAGCTTGAAAATTTAATAGAAGGCTCCTTATTATATATTGTTTCAAAGGTAGATGAAAAATATTAAAAATCTATAGTCACAATTTTTTTTTTATAAGCATTTAAAGTTAAAATATCGACAAAGTACTTAAAAATGACAAAACTTTGCAAATTATTTTAAGTTAAAAAATCCATAATTTTTTTCTACCTATATGTCTAACATTAAGATGGTAACATACCTACAACATTGACCATCACGTGGTACTCATGCTCAATCCAATGTTTTGTAATATTTAATAGTTTTCCGGGCATCTCAATGGTATATTCTGTGTTTACCCCTTCATCTATGGAGCGTATTTTAGATAGAATTTTTAAAACGTTTGTATTATGATCATTCATTTTTGTGTTCGTGTTCGTGTTGGTTGAACTATGATGAATGAACATAATATTATAAAGATCACCTCCAAACCCACCCAGAGATTGTATTAACGAGCCTAATTATTATAATAAATCTAGAAATAGAAAATGTTTTGAAATATTATTTAATATGTGTATACCTCAGTGTTGCCATAGTAAATAGTTACATACCTGGAATATAAACTATTAAATTTAAATTTAAATTCNGGAGCACGTGTCGCCGCGCCGAATATACGGCCGGTCGACTAAGCGTCCTGCGCTCTGGAAAAAAGTTTATCCTGTGTATATAATTAATAATAAGTAAAGAGTAGAAGTAAATAAAATATTAATACTGATGGTACTGCTCGTAATATTTTTTGTTTTTTTTCAACAATCGTTTTGAATGAAATATTAATATAAATAATGTGACAAAAATAATTTAATATTTTTCAATCACTCTGTATATTGAAGGAACACACTGTATACTTGTTATGCTATAATTCCAAGTTAATAATGTTATTAAATTAAAAACGTCCAGACATAACAAAAATAATATACATATAGCATATTATATGATACGTTAATGTTATCGACGTTCGACGACGGCGTCATTTCAGGGAAAATATTAATATCAAAACTAAAAATAAACCAAAAAAAAAACCAATTATATCCTTAGATTCTTGAGACATTACCTGATCGCCTGCAGTATATTTAAAAACGTTATCTCAACGCCAGTCAAAATTATGAACTGTGAAAGTGAACTCTATATTTGTCGACGGGTAGTCGACACCGGCGACCAGGGTAATGTTTTAGATGTCGACTACCCGTCGACCGTGGCGTTGAACGTGTTAAACGAGTCGTTCGCGCCAGCATCTCTTTAATCGTGTTATCAATATATTGTTATCAATGCGGGATTAAAATATTATATTACCTTATAAGTTAATAGTTACCTATGCTTATAAAATGGAATCACGGTTGAAATGTTCCATTTGTGACAAATCTTTTGCTCAAAAATATCATTTAAATGAACATCACCGAAAAATTCATAAGTACGATCCAATCCCTAAGCTTTATAATATTTATGTACAATAATTAAATAAATTTTTGCCAAAATTGGAATGCGACTAATACGAGACTCTGTACAATCATCAAGAACGTTCTCATCGTATTTTTCATTTGCTTTTTGTTCGTTTTGGCGAAAAATTAATAAAGGCCCAATGAGAGTTGACGAGAAATTGTGATTTACCCATCGTTAAATCGCTCACATATTCCTGGAAAATTATTAGCTGGTTATCAATACTCTGAACTTCATAACATTGAATATGATATAATTTTGAATATTATAACACGTGCATTATGGATTCGTAACTGATTTTTTGAGCATTTCTTGAACATATTCATATTATTAAATGCGGTGGCAGAATTTAGTTTTAGATGATGTAACTCAGTTAACATGGGAAGACTTAGAAGATATTGGAATAGTCAAACTTGGGCATCAAAAAAGATTATTACTAGCAATTAAACAAGTAAAAGATATTAAGGCTGGGAAATCATTTGTTCCTCATTCTCCATATTTTATTCAAACTCAAGTGAGTAAAAATTCTAAATTGGAAAAAAATGATATTAAAAATGTTTCTTAATGTAAAAAATTCAAAACTTAATTTATTTTAAGATAAAATAACATCAACAATATCTATTATATTTTTAATTATTTGTGTTCCACGCCTATTAAACGGTCGGATCGATCTTAAAGTGTTACAAAATACTGCTAATGTTAGTAATAATGTTAATAAACTACATGTTACAGTAACATGGCTAAAAGTATTACATAATAATGAATTGCTGTTTATTTTTATAGTTATATAGTAACCATTTATACAGATTTTTTAACACAGATATTAAATTTAAAGTTATAAATTAATTTTAGTTTTATAGTAATTTACAATATATTAATTATTATATATATATAATTATATATTATTTTACAATATAATATTTTCATTTTATTAGGATGGCATCAGTTAATCAAAAAGCAAAAATTCTTTGCACTGTTGATGACATTTGCTTACGAGAAAATGTGGATCCAATTATCGGCTTTGGAACACATAGATCAGGTGTTATGCCAGTGGCCATTTGCTCCACGAGTGACAAGAAACTTTTAAAATTCCATAGACAGAAATATATAGAATCTCTTGGACCTTGTTCGCCGTTTGAATATCAGAAATGTTATAGATACCCAAAAGACGAAGATTTTGGAGTTAAAGTGGTAGCTAAGAAAACCATTTACATGAACAACCTTATAACAGAACTATACGGTTCAATGGCACCTGTCACTGATGATTTTTTTTCTGATGGAATAAGAGAATATTCAGTCGTGAAATCCATACATACAGGCGAAACAAAACTGTGGCTTGGGCCCGCAGCATTCTTAAATCACGATTGCGAGGCAAATACAGATATATATGCATTAGGGAGTACCAGTGCAATAGTAAAAGCTAATAAAAAAATTAAACGCGGAGAAGAAATAACTGTATTTTACGGTGAACATTATTTCGGAGAAAACAACAAAGACTGTTTGTGTCATTCATGTGAGTATAAAAAGATAGGGCATTTTCAGGTAAATCAAGGAAATGAACAAGGTGCCGGTTGCCCAATGACAAATGCAGTCTTCAGTGAAGAAGACTGCACTGAACCCAGAGACGATGTTTTTACGTGTGATATATGTGGACACATTTTTTTGTTCAAATGTTGGTTGGAGAGACATATTGCTTCCCATATGCAACCTATTCATGCATGTGAATATTGCGACAGGGTTTTTAACAGGAAGGATACCCTCAAGAGACATATACAAACTGTTCATAATAAAGTAAAGCATTCGTGTAATATTTGCGATGCTAAATTTAGCACTACTCATGCAAGAACTAGACACATCAGCAGGATTCATAGCATAGAGGATAACATAGTCCATTGTCCAATATGTCCTTCAACGTTTAATTGCCAACAAAATTTACAATACCACAATAACTTAAAGCACACTCAATTTAAACCGTATAAGTGTAAGGAATGCTATAAAGGATTTGAGACACCTTATTTGCTGCACATTCATAGACGATCACATGATAGACAAAGAAACGATTGATAAGTAAGGCGAATTGTTCAGGAATACAAGGTAATAATATAATATATAATATAATATATATAATACAAGATTATTTATTTATAATATATTATTTATTTAATTGAATTACTTTGATATTTTCAGGTTAAAAAAATTTTTTTCTTTTTTTCATAACCTTTAGTTTAAACCAGAAGATATTATCTTCTAAGACCGTGGTTTAAACTATTAAAAGTTAAATTTATTAGTCAAAATATCTGTCTTTATAGTTAAATTAGTTATTTAAGCCCCTAGCAGATAAACATTAGTATAATAACCCCAATCCCTAATACATAGACAGATAATTTGACCCCTTTTAAAATATCAAGTGATCTGTGGTGTTATAATTAAGTAGGTAGGTATATTAAATTAGTTATGTAAGCCCCTTACAGCTAAAAATTAGTATAAGATCCCAAATCCCTAACATCACAGATCATTTGACCACCATTAACTAATTCGGGAGGTTGGCTGGGGTTAAGGGTGGCGGCATCGAATAAAGGTTCACCGTGTCGAGGTGATGCCGCTGAGCAGTGGAAGGATCAGTGGCAAAGTTACTGATTCAAATTCACTTGCGACCAAGAAACCTTTTCTTTAAAAAAAATGGCGTAGCTCCACCGGATGGGTTAGGGGGGGGGGGGGGGGTTAATATATTATTAACAATTGTTGCAGGATTACGGTACTGAAATACATCATTTAGCCACCACTACAAGTCCAATTAGTCACGAGCGGAACACTGCAGCTAGTTCCACGCACCGCACGCGAATGCGCCCACCAATTTTTACTATATTTTGGATTATCACAATATACATTTTTTCGAAGTAATTTAGGAAAAAAATATCTATTTTACTATGACAAAAGTTATATTTTCTTAATAGTCATGACCTGGTCTATCAGAAAAATAAAATTTCATAAAGATTAGGTAAGAAATAAAAGTTTTATAGGCTTATGTTCAAACAAAAAATAACCCTCTAAAACGATGAAAATATGTCAAATATTTACGTTCAAAATGTGATTTCTGCGAAAATATTTGAAGTTAAGGTATGTTTAGTATATATAAAGATTCAGTGTAATATTATCTATCAGAAAAATATAAATTTATATAGTATAGTTGAGAAATAAAGTTTTTCTACTACATATCGTTCGCAGAGTTAAGAAATAACGTATTCTCAGCTATACATAAACAGCCGCCTGGACATTAACATTAATTTTGTCTACGTAATTTATACGAACAAAATCTCAAGTTTATTAAGTTGCCTATAGCGAAACCCTTAAGCTACGCCAAATACTATCAAATTTAAAATTGAATAATTATTTTGTAGTTAAAAATTGAGAAAATGTTTAATTTTTATATAAAAAATAGACCCCCAGAAGTGGACGGTGATTTTCCCTTCGATACTTTGCAATTATCAAAAATAATAATTAAATCTTACCTTATGATGGTGTCAATTATGTTTCACAAGTATAGACCGGCTGCGGTGGATTGAAATGAACCATTTTTTTCGTATAAACACTGTTCACTAATTTATTACACACACTTAAAAAAATATATAAATGAACATTGCATGCGGATGTGTAGACATACACGGTCATACACATACATTGTCTTTTACACACGTATATGCGCGCGCATGCGTTAGAAATTTCTATTAACAAGAATGTTTACGTAAAAATTGGTTTATTTTCAATAAAAATATTAATATTAAGTCAGTTTGTAAGGGTTCGGATTGTATATAATACATTGTCAAGTATATACACAGGTTATATAATCATTAATATTTGTATTGAAAATAAATCGATTTTTACGTGCAAATAAAAAAAATCGTTTTTTGTTGACGTTCGAAACGACGAAAGCGGTACTAAACTATACAGTACCCAATATCCTTATACAACATCCCTTATGAATGTACAATTTGCGCATGTGCATCGAACAAAGGAGTCCAGCCCTCGGCACATATCGTTGCAACAGCTGCTGCTGCAATAATGACTGGAATTCTCTCTGTTACAATACATTATAAAATAACATAATATATAATATTCTCGTTTTTAATGTTTTTCGATTTTTATATTTTTCTACACATCAATCACCATCTCTGTTACAGTCACGAGGTCTGTGATGAGTCCATCTATTTAGCAGCCTCAAAAATTGAAAGTCTATTTGGTGATATATTTATTTTTGAATTTACTAATTTGCTACACATTAATACATTATACAAATACAGTTTGGACACCATTGACGTTGACCTTAGATATTTTAGAAGTAGAGTTAATATCCAATGTTGTAAAAAATGTGAACTTCAAACGATGAATATTGCACTTATCGACCTGATTTTTTTTTATAATTATTGTTCAGGCCAGTGCCTATTTGCTCCGAGCGTGACAAGCTATACTATTAAGATTCCAAAAAGAGAAATACATAGAATCCCTTGGAGCGTGTTCTCGATTCGTTTATCAGAAATGTTATAGACATTTATACATACAGTCGCACTATGTAAAATTTCGCATCCTTTACACACACACAAATACAAGCGTATACAAGCGCGCCTGATGGTTGGGTTGGGTGGGGCGTGGTGGTATGTATGAAACTCGTAGCGTACGTAAATTATTACGTATCGTGGCACCTGATCTAAATATTATTATAAATTTTTTTACATTTACTAAGACATTATTCATAGTAAATAGGGTAATTTCTATATGGGAAATTGATTTAACAAGCATAATTTCATAATCTAATAGTTTATAATATATATTAGAGTACTTACGTACAGCACTTTCATAGCCACCGCCAACACAGGGACGCATCAAACGATGATTTATTTTCTGTAAGAAACACACGACCGCCGTATTCGGAATATAACGTGCGGGATTCATTTTCCAAAAAAAAAAAAATAATAGTTATCAAACGGTTTAATGAGTATAATTTAGGTCTATTATATTTTCTATAAGCAATACAAAAAAAAAAAAAGGAAACAAATTAACTTACATATGTAATTATAAGATAAAAATATGATAAATGTACATGTTTTTGGATACTTTACAATAGTGTGTATTTTTAACAAATAAACAATTCAGTAAATAAATTAAAATTATATGAACATCATAAACTCTGTCTTAATATTACATATTTGTCTTAGTTTTAACACATTGAAATATTTCTCGTCCAACCCTAAAGAACAACGTAAAGTCAAGTATTTAACATTTTCTAAGTGTTTAGGAAGCTCGAATAATTGTTCTACATTTACCACACTACTTCCCATATCCATCAACATTATATCTTTTATAGTTTAACAATGACAGAAGAGGGAACCGGAGTGGCGCAGTGGTCACGCTGTAACATTATATCTTTATCCTATGAATAAATCCAAATTAATATCAACATTAGTACACACCCAGCTAGTCCTCGCATATTCTAGACCTGTCCTAGGTGTTAGTGGTGAACAATTAGGTGTCCGGGGTGCGCAAGTTATTATTACATGCTACCGGCCCGTCCAAGTATAATCAAAATTGTCGTTTTGCAGTTATGCAAAATATGAGTTAAGATATAACATGTATTCAAGAAATTAAAATAACTTTTCAATCACCCCAGACTTAAAATATAGAAAAATTTAAAAATGGTGTTGATAATATTATAACTTGAATTTTGTATACATTATTATTTAATGAAAACACCAATCACTAACAATAAATACGGTATTTATCATAATCAAATATCATTTAAAATAAAAAACAATACATGAATAAATATTTTTAAATACTTTGTACTAAGCATTTATACTAATTAAGTACTTAATAGTAATTTAAAAATAATTATTAATCACACCTACTTTTTTTAAAAATTGTATATATAATAATATGCTTTACACAATCAGCATATTATATTGTGATTATTATTGATTGACATAGTAATGATTGATGTTGTCCAAACTGTATGATTTATTTTGTTATGGCATATCAAAAATAACATATTATGTCATTATATTTATAATTTTATATTCACTTTTGTTTATAAGTGAAAAAGTGGATATTTCAATATAACTTTTATAACTTTAGAGTACAAGCTTTCAAATAATGTTATATCTTTCAAATCAATATTATGCCACATTTTAATATCAAAGGAAAAGAAACTTTATAATAACTCGCAAGAACATCTTAGTTGTTTTTTAATATTTCTGTGTAGTGATAAATAACTTGATTATAAAGGTAACAGTCCACATTGAAGTATCCAGTAGCCTACTGGCAGTAGGTACCAGTGATCCATAGGTTAGGCATACAAAGATTTGAACAAAAATTGTACTTGTATACAAGATTAATCTGAAATAAAAATTTCTTGATTTAGTATGTTCGATAAATTCTATAATTTTGGCAACTAAAAACTAAACTAGTAAAACTTACCAATGAATTGTACAAATGTAATTGCCAAGTATTCAATATTTCAAGCCTCCAACTTGAGGAGTACTCATATGTTTGATTAAATTATTAAAAGAAAATACATGAAATACAATATGTAGTATATGATATTATATATTTACAAAAACTAATATTACTACTAAAAGTTTATCAATACAATTTGAACACTTAGAACTGTAGAGTTTAAAAATTTAATATTTTATTTAATATTTTTATACGAATTACAACCATGATTCACGATTCAAATTTGATGTTATTATCTTATAACCTTTATTTTTTTTTTTTTTTTTTTTTTTTTTCCGTTTTGGACCGACGGCGCCGCGGGAATTGCTTTCGCATTGCTTCCACGACGCCGCCATCGTTTATTTGAAAAGAACAAATAATTATACATACGTGGGGAGTAGTCGGGACAGTCTCCGACTTACCCCCCTGACATAAACATGAGTTATACAAAAAAAAAAAAAAATTTATTTATATAGAAAAAAACGATGATGGCTTATGGCCCGCTGTTTGCTTTTTTTGAATCTCGACCCGGCTTTGCTGCCCGCCAGTCTTGATGTCACGTTCGTGGTTTCCCGGCC